GCACACTCATTAATGCACACTCATTAATGCACACTCATTAATGCACACTCATTAATGCACACTCATTAATGCACACTCGTTAACCAGAGGGCAGGACGTCTTCACAACTTTCCACTATGTAGCCAAACAGCCAGAGAACAACTGATACTCGCTGTTCTCTGAACTGGAAACAAAACAAAGATGGAAGCTACATCAGCTGAGCTAATTTTGCTAATTCAGCAGTAAATACCAGTAAATACCAGTAAGTATCACTGATATTTATCTTACTATTCCACAGATGTGAGTAGAGTACTCAAAAATCGAGATCATAATAGCTGTAATGTCTAAATACTGTTTATAAGTTAAGAACGAGTCGAGAGCTCGTTCTGAGCTTGTGGCGTGTTTATTGTTGTCATGGAAACTCCATAGCAACCGCCTGACAAGATGGCTGTTTAGTTACAAAGCTCATGGAAATGATTTCACATGGGAACTATTTAAAATAAGACAGAAGACATATAAAGTTACATGGAAATTTGGGTATTTTAAGGATGAAACTGAAAATAATTTATATAACATAATTACAAAATAACAAAATTAGGCAAAATAAACTTTTTATTGGATATGTGAGTTAATATTTATACATTTAGTTTTCATTTGATTTTGATTTTCAGGCCATTTGGTTTTCAGGTCATCTCTGTTTCTCTGCAGCTTTCTGACTCGCTTTGTTGTCACAAGGCTTCTCAAATTTTCAGGCCACACCTTAGCTTTGATTTTACTTTGATTTTACTGCTGCATTGTTGTTGAAGTGCAGCATATTGTTACTCTGTGTGTTGTTGAAATGCAGCGTATTGTTACTCTGTGTTGTTAAATGCAGCGTATTGTTACTCTGTGTTTAAATGCAGCTTATTTTTACTCTGTTTGTTGAATTGCAGCGTATTGTTTCTCTGTGTTGTTGTTAAGTGCAGCGTATTGTTACTCTGTGTGTTGTTGAAGTGCAGCGTATTGTTACTCTCTGTGTTGTTGAAGTGCAGCGTATTGTTACTCTGTGTGTTTCACTGCTGCGTTTGTGTTCCTCAGGAAAACGGAGAGACGGTGCTCCACCTGGCCGTCAGAGTGGTGGACAGAAACTCTCTCCACATAGTCGACTTCCTCGCTCAGAACAGGTAACGGCTGGCCGACTGACGGACCCTCTCGGCTGCTTCCGTGACCTCTGACCTCTCTGACTGTGTTTCAGTGGCAACCTGGACAAGCAGACGGCCAGAGGAAGCACGGCGCTGCACTACTGCTGCCTGACGGGCAACAGCGAGTGTCTGAAGCTGCTGCTGAGGGGGAAAGCTTCAGTTTCCATCAGTAAGACTCAAACGGCTCATTTTACTGTTCATCAGACTGAAAATCTGACTTCTGCTTATGGAAATGTGGAGGAATCAACTTTAGGAGTAATTTCTGGTTCACAAACTTTGCAGCTTCAGGTTTTGAGCTGAAGGCATCATTGGTTTAGTCTAATCAGTTGGCAGAAAGCTGCAATAAAGAGACAGATGCACCAAAATAATGCATCACTTTGCATCAAAATGTTCATCCTTTCTTAAACGCAGGCGCAGAAAGAAGCTGAAAACCAGCAACTCAATCAGAATGTGATAATCAGCAAGTCAGAGAAACTGTGAATGTTCTCTTACAACATAGATATAATCATTTCCTATTAAAATAATTTTAAACGTAATGAAAAATGGATTTAAATGAGCAGAAAAATGCATGAAATTCCTTTAAAATTGTAAGATTTTCATATTTTTGTGATTTCAGTTCACAAATTAGTCACAAAAAACTAATTTGTCGCTTTCCTCTTAACATGTTTTAAAATCATAGATTCCCTTAAAGTCAGAAGGTCAATCATCAGGTTTATTCTTATATATTTATGTTTTTCCAAAACGCTGCAGTTATCATGTAGGAATGTCTATTATGAACTTTGACTTTATTTACTGTTTACTGTAATTTGCTTACTTAAGTTTTTTTTCATAAATGCTTTTTTCTGGTGTTAAAATCTAAATGAAAAGTTATTTTCTGATTAGTTTTGACAGAAAGACTCAAGTCTGCAACAAGAAAATCAGTGCTAGAACGAATCTTTCAGGGTTTTTAGAGACCCTGAAAAGTTGCACAGAATGTCTTATTATAAACAGAGGAATCAAAGCTGCTTGTAGCTGATGATTCCTGTCAGAATAAACCAAAATATTGATTCTAAATGAACGACTGATTTTGTCTCCACAGCAAACGAAGCAGGAGAAACGCCTCTAGACATCGCTAAACGCCTGGGACACTCTCAGTGCAAAGAGCTGGTGAGATTTTACTGGTTCAACAAATTATTTTTCTGGTTTTACGTCCTGGTTCCCAAAGGTCGGCTCAGGATCCTGCTAGGAATCCAACTTAGTGCATTCTGTTTTAAGGTTGTGGAGGCAAATTAAAAACCATTCTTTAATTTCAAATTTACATTTTCTCAGTTAAAAATGACCTAAAATGAATCAGTTTTCCTACATTATATGTGGAACTTCCCAGTATTCATATTTTCCAAATATTATGGTTGTCCAGTAATGTTTCGGACTTTGATGATTTTGTAAAGCTCTGCAGAACTGAAAGTTTTGCAACTTAAACTTCACTAAAATCCGATTGACGTAACTGAAACTGCCCCTTTAAGAGGTACTAAAGGACTTGAATTGAAATTTATTTGGAAAACAGAATCTTAAAAATGATAAATAAGAACCAAACCAGTCCATTGGTTTGGTTGGTATCAGACCAACATCTTAGTGTCATGATTTTCCTGCACAGCACCAAGTCATTACTGACTCTCAGGAGTTCATACAGAAACATCAGATCTGTCTTTGTCTTATTTTTATGTAGATTTTTCTCGAGCATTCTGGGTAATGTCCCATTTACATGTCATCATGCTTCATATTCCAGCTGACTGAGGCTCAGACGGGGAAATTTAACGTCCACGTTCACGTTGAGTACGAGTGGCGTCTCCAACACGAGGAGCTGGATGAGAGCGAGGACGAGTTAGAGGACAAGGTCGGCCATCTTAACACGCCGCCGGAGTCTCCTGTTCGGGATTCAGGATGTTAACGCCCTTTGGGATTTGTTTGCAGCCCATCCTGAAAACACCCCGACGGGACGACCGTCCGGTCAGCTGCATCGTTCCCGGCGCCATGCAGTCCAACCTTTCGGCGTTGGCGCACGACATCGCTTTCAAAGCCAAGCAAAGGCCTCCCATCCCAAGCTCTATGATCAGCAATGAGACGTACGGCACAATGTTGGAGGGGGCCCTGCCGCCGCCGGGGCCGACCCCGCCGCTGCCCCCCAGGGGCCCGCACCGAGGACCGGGTGTCAGTAAACCCGCAGCAGTAGAAACAGTAGGAAGACAGCGTTCATCCTCTGACCCGTCTAACCCTCCAAACTCTGATTCAAACTCCTCCATGTATGGTGAGCCTCTCGTCGGTTTTATTCACCGTCTTTGATTCAAGGAAATGAAGAGAAATTTGACCTGTTCCGTGTTCCTCTCCCAGTGCTCCCAGCTGTCCCTCCTCCTCCAGGTGCTCCTCCTTCAGTTAGGGCATCTGGCAGGTTCGATGCAAAGAACGCGTCAGCCAAAAACACGCCTCTGCCTCCTATACCTCCTCCACCAGCTGGACGTCCACCGGGACCACCGCTCACATCGCCGCCCCACTACAAACCTCAACCTCCGACCCCGCATCTGGACCGGCACCAGCCCAGCAGACCGCCAGGATCCGCATCACCCAAGTATGAGATACGATTCACCGTTTGGTGTTTGAAGTAAATTGGAAGTCGACATCAGAGAATAAACTGACTTGAACATGTGGAGCTGGTCTAAAAGAAGAGAGACTTGAAGTTGTTTCTCAAACACCTGAGCGTTGACTTGGAAAGACGGACGTAAGACAAGACTGTAACTTGTCCTTTAAAGATGTGGGATTGACCTTTACTTGGCCCACAAAGATTCGACTTGGTCTTCCCCTCAAAGACTTGAGTCCAGACTACAATATGCCTGTCAAAGCCTTGTGACTTGACTTAGACTAGGGGTAAAACACTTTAGCTTTGACTTGGACTTTTCCATAGACTTGTCACTCTACTTGGACTTGGACTTGCCTATTAAAGAACTTTGATGAAAATCTCTTGTAACCATGTCTGGTTCTGGTTTACGGCGAACATAAATGCTAATACCAGTCATAGAATCATTACCACTAAGTAGTGGTCTGCATTTTTTATTTAGAATCAGTACTGGTCAGAACTGGTCTTAGTGGTTAGAGCTTGAACTAATCTTGTCAAATTAGGCTGAAATGTAAAGACTGTAAGTGATGACTTTATTTTCATTGGTTTCAGGTTAGAGAAGCAGGCTCCTCAAAGACCCCCAGTCAGAACTGCATCTGTGAACAAACCAGGTAATGAAACACCTCTTTGTTTTTCAGTAATATTTAGACCAACAGCCTTGGATTTACAAGGTGCTGCTTCGCCCCTTAGGGAGTCCAGACCTGTTGGGGTCTGGACTCACTCAGACCCTGAAAGGTCTGCTTTGTTTGAGGTTTGTCTCCAGAGATCAGCCCTGATTATCTCAGATGTGGAGAATTATGAGACCAAAGTAGTTGTTGTTCAGGATCCAAGGATGTCAGAACATTGGCTTGTCCGTCTATCCTCCGTCCGTTCTCCATCCAAACACCCAGAACACAATCTCTTTAGAGACCTCTTCCTGCTCTTCCTTTGGAGCAGGAAGGAAGATGAAATGACCCAATGAGGTATTGACTCATTGACTCACTGGGTCATGACTCATTGGCCCAATGACCCATTGAGTCAATGCCAATCATTGCGCCAATCATTGACACAATCATTGGCGCAATGATTGGCATTGCATCAATCATTGCCTGATTGACGCAATGCCAAACAGGCAATTCCTCCAATTCCTCATTTTGGTCACATCGGGTGTCATAAGACGGTTTAGTAAACTGGCGTACCTAATGACGTGTCAGTCAGTGTACCTCCTGTAGCATTAGACGGTTTAGCTCATCTTTCTTAGCCATTAATTCACCAACAACCTTTCCTTCTCCTTTCTAGGTGTTAAGCCTCCTGGAAATCCGGCTCCTCCTACACCTAAACCCAGAACCACCGTCTCTGTGAGTCCTCAGACCTTCCAGAAGTGAAATCATTTGTGGTGTTTGAACCTCAGTGTGAACTTTGTCCTGGCTGATCTCTGGTTCTGTAGAAGCCAAAGCCAAAGAGGGTGAAGGCCATCTATGACTGCTTTGCCGACAATCCAGACGAGCTGACGTTCAGAGAAGGGGAGGTGATCGTGGTGGAGGGGGAGGAGGACAGCGAGTGGTGGGTGAGTGTCCAGAAAAGGAAACGCACCAAGAAAAGGAGAAAAATCAACAACTTGACATGTCAAGTTGCTGAGCAAAGTTGATCCAAATGAGAATCCTACACTGCTCTTCAATTTGTTTTATTTTGTTCGCTGGTCTTTAATCTCATATCACTGTTGTCAGTTAAAGATTTGTTTCTGAGGAAAAGCAAATAAACACATTCAATGTATGAAATTACTTTTCAGATGCAATGTTCTTACAAACCTGTTTTATCTTAGTTGGAATTACCAAAATTATTTATATTTGCTAAATGCCAGAAAGCCAAGAGCTGAGCCTGGGGGTACGCCATGATGAATTTTTCTGAACTACTTTTTGCCACTTTCAACTTATTTTAAGGTTTACAAGCAATGGTTTTTAAGTCTGCTCTGCTATTTGTCTTCATTTACTGTTTTTCTTGCTAGTTTTGCTTTTCTTCTGATTTCTTAATGGTATTTCCGTAACCGGCGTTTGCTTTGTGTTTCAGATTGGTCACATTGAAGGAGAACCGGACAGGAAGGGAGCGTTTCCCGTCA